CAAGCAAAGGTGCTAATCCCCACTCACCATCCTGCCCAGGCTGTTTCAAACTTTAGCTCTTTGTACTGGAGCTGTCTCTAAAAAGGTGTGGTTAGGATTTTTTTTTTTTTACAATAGGAAAAGTGCATTTTCCCTCCTTTTCCATAACTCATATGTCTGAAGGGATTTTGCTCAAACTTCACAATAAAATAAATAAATAAAAATCACCTGTCAGCACAGACCAAGCCTGGACAGTTTTAGCCTCAAAATGAAATGTTTCTAAAGGTTCTGAGCGCATGAAAAGGGGGAGTTAAAATTAAACTTAACTGCAGCGGTTGCTGTGAGGCGCCTGCTGCAGACGTGTGACGTAAACATCATCCAGGAGTAAGGCCTGTTCTTGCCCCAATGTGGCATGAGGAAGACAAGTTACAATGTGTTCTCATTTGGGATCAGTGACTGAAAAAGGAGTGCTTCCTGATTAACGTAGAGTAATGATGCCAATGACTGTAACTCCAGCTTGCCTGACGTGTGTGAATTTTCAGAAGGCCACTGTCATTTCCATGATATATTAACGCAGAATAAACTCCAGGCTCCAGCCACTACTGAGCTCTCCGAATTCAAAGCCCAACAGCTTTGCCACTTGCAGTTGAAGTACTTTTACTTGAACTTAAGAGAACTTTTGGCACAGTTTGACTCTCCGATGTGAATGTATTTGAACAGCTACACGCTCCTGATACCGCTCTTAAATAGTCTCAGAGTGAAAACAGCCTCTAATCCATCTCTTTCAGTGTGGGCGTATTAAAAACCCCCAACCCCCCTCAGCCCCTCTGCAGTTTTACACGGTTGATTGTTTCCACTGTGTACACGGATTGCAGTACAATCTCATTTCAAAGAACTGGACCCACAGCGGGGATAACAGAGCAGAACTCTGCCTTCCCCCCACCCCCAATTCTCTTTCAAGGTAACAGCCAGGCTGTCATCACTTCACTGCACTCTGGCGTTTGAGAGAGCAGCTCTCAGGTACCAGATGCCAAAGGATGTCTTGCTCTGTACCAAGGACATTCTGTTACCTCCCCACAGTTACACCTCACTAGGGCATGATTCTTTCCTTATCACCTGCAGGGCTACAGGGACTTCTGGCAGGAGGACTGTGAGAATGGAAACAAACACTCTGAACAAGGCTCCATCTACACTGAGAATCTTTAGCAGTTCTCCTACCATTGATCTAGCACTGGCAATAACAATGGAAGCCCCACCCAAGACCAGCTGTGAGTGATGGCCACCAAGCTGTCTAGACCTGCTCTGAGCGGCATTAGCCAAAGCAGTGGTGAAGGACGAGTGCCCCCAGACCACCCTAGCATTTCGACCATTGCCAGCGCAGTGACGGGGAGAAGTGGTGAATATTCGAGTGCACAGTGCCTTTAATACAGCTGCATTTTCAAGCTTGTGAACAGGGTGTGAATTATACCCAGATGACTAATTAGTTTAAGGCTGCAGAAAAATCTTGAGGGCGATATCGTTCCAGCTTCCTGTGCTCTCGGGATAATGTGTGCGCTCAGCGCAAAGCAGGTTCAAAATGGCAGTAGCGGATTGCTAAGCTCTAGTTACCTTGAGCTGGAGAGGTCAGACCTGTGCAAGAAACTTCATCTTAAACTCCTTCCTGTCAAGAAAATGAACTCCAGCCTGGCCCAGAACGCTGCTGAGGGCTTTATTTCTACTCTGTGCACACAAGCCCGTGTTCCTCCCTGACGAGAGCCCAAACGTCCAGGGCCCTGGGGGTCTAATGAGAGCAGGAGTCTATGGCCATCACTTCTTTTTCTTAGCTCCAGCTTTTCCCTTTTTCCCTTTGTCTTTGCCCTTTGGCTCGTCCTCTTTAGACTTCTTGAGGGCCTTATAGGGGCCGATGTTATGGCGGACCATTGTGCCTCTCCACCAGGCCTGTAGCTGGAAGCAGGAAAGAAGGAGAGTTAGTTTTCCAAAGCTAGAGTCACACTCCTCCCTGTTCAGAGCGGCTGGTCTTGGGGAAGTCAGCTGCCATCGTGCCATGCCTCCCCCTCTAGGGGATATCGAGTACGCCCCATTGGCTCAGTGCTGTGGGAAAAGGGACGGGCTTTCTGGTTGTCTGATGTTACATTTATGTAAAAACATTACAAGAAAATCCGAATGGTGAACCCGAGAGTGCCAGGGAATACTGCTCTGTGACACGTTCTGATCTCCAGCCTCCTCGAGGCACCCGCTGGGAGTGCCGGAGCCTGGATCCCGCCCTAAGTCTGCTGTCTGCCAGCGTCTCCTAGGCCAGCAGCCTGGTGCCGGCTGCCAGTGCTACCTCAGCACTGGCTCCGTATGCACCAACTCTTTGCCTTGGAAACATTCCAAACCTAAGTGCTTAGATCAGGGGTCGGCAACCTGCAGCACGCGAGCCGATGTTTGATGGCACGCTGCTGCCTGCCAGGGTCCTGGCCCCACTCAGCCCCCCTGCCCACCGATTTCTCCTGCGGGGGCAGGAGGCAGAAGCTTGGTCCTCCTGGCAGCCAAGCTCCCCCCTCCCTCGCTTCTTCCCCCAGCGTGGTGCTTTCCTGCCCCTCCCACTCCCTCTCCCTGCCACCGATCAGCTGATCGCCCTTGCGAGGGGGAGGGGGAGCCGAGCCAAGCCACAGTGTGCTCGCTGCTCCTGGAGGGAGGCAGAGAAGAGGTGGGGACGGGGCCCTGGAGAAAGGGGTGGGAACGGGGCATATCCCCTCCAGCCCCCTGCCGTGAGCACTCCCACAAGCCGAGCACCCCAGTCCTCTGCCCTGACCCCTGAACTCCTCCCCCCCACACACCCAGCCTTCTGCCCTGACCCGTGAACTCCTCCCCCCACACACCCAGCCT